CAAACAACATGAATAACTCGATAGGAGAGCTCTCTTATTCATGGAGAGCTCTCTTATTTATGTTGTTTGTGCACAGGGCGGGCGTGCGGTGTACTTGTTTGTTGAAGATGAGCATTTGACCGGCATTTACGGGTAATTATCGGCAATAATAGGCGATCGAAATAGAGTAGAGAAACATAAAGACCTTGGTAGTAATACATAATTTTTTTTTTATTGAGACGTTCGAAGTGCCTGTGGTCACAGGCATAATAATAATGTCAATATTACGAGTATTACTAACGCTGAAGGGGTCGTTGTCGTATAGGTACCCGAGATAATGCTAGTCTAGGCAGTCGCCTACGCCTACTCCCTAACCCTAACCCTAACCCTAACCATATCAGATAGTTACCTCGAGTACATATATGTAGTACCCTATACGACAACGACCCTTCGTGCATTACTAACGGTAATGGCAAAGCCCAAAGCATTAGCATAATAGTGCCTGATCTGTTGTGCTACGCATTTGGAGTAGAGTGTTACATTCTGCGCAGTAAGCTATGTAGTTCATTATTCTGTGAAACGGTATGATACGTACATATATGATTGATATATTGTTGTATCATGTGTATTACTGTATGTAGTATGCAGTTGTACGTGCACACCATTTTCTAACACAACACTCAACAGTGTGGAGGGTGTGTGCAGGTTGCACTGTAGTTTTCAACACGTAGAAGGCTAGCAAATATAAGAAATGTACATTCGCTTAAACATTGTTTCAATAGTCTGGGGCTGAAAATGGGGCAAGTCCGAGGTCCGGGACCTGCCGATTTCATGCTCGGACCTTCGGTCCGTCGGCCCTATCAATAATTTACAGTACTCCACTTTCATTAAATAAAACATCATTAAACCATTGCAAATTGCGAAGAAATAAAGCAAAAGTAGATAGATTTTTGGTCACTTTCGACGTCTAGTATCATATTTAATATTCACGATGAAACATACCAAGTATAATGGTTCAAGTTTACCGAAAATCTGATCGAAATTACACGTACTGATAGCGTATGCTGCAGCGTTATTTAGTAGCATGGTTGTTTATAACGGAAGTTAATGCGGATGCGCGTGCAGTTTCAGCATACCATAAGTAACTCGGTGCATGTGCGAGTAACTCGGAATGCCTGCAGACAATTTATGTATTGTATCAAACAAGGGCAAACATGAGTTTGTTTAAGCTTGGTTTTGTATCAAAAAACGGACCCACTGTTACCAACCAATCTATTAGCCAAACAAACTTTACAAATGACTTGCAAAATAAAACCAAAACTACTTGTACTTTGTCGAAAAATGCAAAATGTGATGATGTGAAAAGTAAAACTACAACGAGTAGATTAACAAAAGACACAAAATATGACAGTACACGTGTCAGAAACTTCATATTCGGACCTTCCAAATCTTTCATCGGGCCTTACAAAAATATTGCTGAAAAGTCCTGCACCTGGGGGCAAAAACCACTATTTTCAGTCCCTGATAGTATATAGTTACTATAGCCTAGCAGCATGTTATTCTAGAAGTCGTGATTAGATCAGACACAAAGTTTTGTATCTATGGTTACAATAGCTTGTCTTGTATATATCTTTTAAGCACTGAGCAATGGCAGGGACTCGAACACGCTCGATGGAAGAGGACGACGAAGATTATTGGATGTCCTCCAGCATGAAGAATAAAGCTTCAATATTTGATGACAACGATGATGCCGTATGTAATTTTTACTTGTTGGCATCGCTGTAGTTATATTAATCTGAATCAACTCCTTCAAAGGTCATTCTTAATCCTTATAACTGGTCCAAATGCTCTGGTCAATATTTTATGTTATCTGTTAGGCTTGCATTGTGTGGGATAGTAATACTTCTAGTTACTGAATCCTGGTTATAATTATCTTTGGCGTAGGAAGGCATTATGCTGCTTGGTGTCAGCCGTAACAAGGTAAAGGACCTGTCAAAGACAATGAAGGAAGGTCTGGGGGAGATGGGAAACACAGAGGAAGACATCATTAATTGGGATGGAAGCAGCACATCAAGTGGTTCGTCCCTCACGTCAGGTAACCATGTCAACCACATAAATTGTTTGACGTGTTTGTGAAGTCTATATACATGTCATCATATGGGTTAGAAATTATTAAGAATATGTTATTATTGTGGCTTTTATGGTACTGAACTTATGTTAGATAGACACACTGTAAACATAGTAGTTATATTGAGGTAGAAAATTTAACAAGAAATTTGGAAACTTGTAAAGAAAATATGCAGTCGAAAACTACTTGTGTGCAAATTCTCTACAGGCGTTATTTATTATATCTGCAACCGAACTGGTCACAGCTTAACATTTGTTGTTTGATGTATTTAACAGACTTGAAATCAGTGCGCTATCGGTCATCTCCAACTAGTCATCTAGCTCCACGGAAGGTCACCTCTAACTCTGCTAGTAGAAGCAGCAGTAACTCTTCTTTAAGTGGTCAGAGTCGGGTGTCAAATGTGGGTGAGTATAGATGGTTTCTGCCTTTAAACTGTGATTGTGTCATAAATAAATTGGAAAACTGCATAAGTGTAAACAAATTGAGTCTCAACTATTACTAGCAGACTTTTTACTTATAGGCTATAAAACAGCAGATGAACAGCAAACGCGCACCTGCTATCTTCAGATTTGCGATAATGGAATGGTCATATGGTCCCACAAAACAAATGCACGTAGTTATGTGACCAAATATTTATAGACTGGCACCTATCTTGAAATGTATACAAAGGTAACTAATCTACTGGAGAGACAGTGTTCTGGTCTCGAGAGAGCAAAAATCACTTACGCTATATGTTCGTTGACATATGTGAACAATCTATTTTGAAATGCAGATCTGTGCACACATTAGTGGAAAGAATATTGTTTGAGTGTTCTATGACATGTTAGCCTTACTATATACATTTAGTGTTATGCAAGGAGTACTGGTAAGGATCAGAACGGCTGAGAAAACATGAAAACAGTTGGTAAAGAGAAATCCTCGCTTTAATGTCTAGTAATTTTGTTGGCCAGATCGAATGAAAATCGTCCATGAGTATTGTGCCAAAATATTAATACATGTATTTCTAATTTTGCACCTGCTGTTGTCATGCAACCAGAATATCATCACATGAATTATTCATTGCAATTTTTAAAATAACTAAGTACATGTGTATGATTAAGCTTACATGCAGGTTTCAAATGCAACTTTCACTGCCGAGAGTGTAATATTAAATGTTTTGTAAGACATCGGTTCTTCATTATAGAGTGGGATAGATGATGTGCCCCTGTCGTTCAGTAGAATATGCCTAAAAGAGAATGACAGCATACTTCCCAAATACTCCCATGACTAAATAGCTGCACTATAATAGTAGGTCAGTTTGTATTTATAAAATTCGAAAAATTAAATGTAATTGTCACATATCTTACTTCTGTAGGTGTCACTGTGCCAAAACCATCGCCAGACAGCCTAACGAGCAGCATCAGCGATGCCGTACAAGGTGCAAAGCGTGTTCCCAGCTTGACAGACGTCTCAAAAATTGAAGCTGAGGTGCAGTTCTTGCGCAGACAGTTAAACCTTGCCAGACGAGACAGATGGGAGAAGCTGCCAGTCAGGGAGACAGTGAAGAGGATTATTCTAGGAGAGGTAGTCAGAGGACTAAATGTTTGAAATTATGTGATCAGATTTCATGGAATCATATTTAAATATTGGTGAATTTTACTTAGCAATTTTAACTGCAGGTCAGTTGGTTTTTTCAACCTGTTCTGTCAGTTGATTATGGTCGCCACCAGATGTCAGGTAATGCTCATAGGGTCTATGTCCCCCAGGGTACTGCGTGAAATGTGATTATGTCAAAAATTACTGCTAAGCTGGTAACATGGTATCTCAATTTGCTACTTTAGCCCTACTCCCTCGAGGCATACAAGTCAAAAGAGGACAAACTAAGTTTGCTTGACACGGCTACTGCGATGCATGATGGAAACGCCATCATGGCTGCTGTTCTGTTCCTGAAGTCTACAGTTAAAGCCCAGATTTTTCATCATGAGATGATGAGGCGACCTGTTGCTACGAATCACTACCTAATCTATCTCAAGAGCAGCCGAGAGTACAATCAGCTTGCGGATATTTTGGGGTGTGCAGCTTACCAATACCGTTACAAGGTCGCAGAAATGCATTATGTAAATTTGAGACGTGAATGTTAATTATAGCACTGTTTTGTCTGCATTGTTTTATACAGGCATATGATCACAAGATAGATATAGAAATAGTTGGCCAGAAAAGAATTTGTTGTGATCAAAGCTGGTCGCAAAAGTCGCACAACTGAGATGTACTCATTCCCCATTTACAGGTTGTTCGGTAGATCAGAGGAAGCGGCCATGTTGAAGTACAAGCAAGCGGTGAGTCCAGTAGAACAACAGGTGAAGATACGCAACTTGAAGCAGTGTTTAGGGTAAGAGCTGTTACAGTGTGTTCGACTTTGTACATAGCTCTGCACTAATTCAGTCACGTTCCATGCACTCATCGACACGTCTACCTAGCGTGATGACTCATACAGATATACTAGTTAAATTTTACTAAAACCAACCTCGTGGTGCGCAACCCTGATCGTTCGTCGATGCGTGTTTCCCACAGCGCGCATTTCAGCATGGACCCGTCGCTGGCGTACAACACGAGCATGGTGCTACAGCAGCTCTCCTTGCTGGAAACGCAGCTGCCCATCAACGAGTACGATGCTCAGCTCGAGCGCGAAGGCAAGACGGCGATATTCAAGGAGTTCCCGCGCACGCGGCCGCTGCTGGGCGTGCCTGTCCTCGCGACGCTCTACTACTGCTGCTTCTACCACTATGGACTGCCGGAGAATAACCTTGCGTGTCCGGCCGCGCTGCGCAAGAAGTATAACCTCACGAGCAAGCAGTATCTGTGGGTGGCGCTGAGCGCGCGCTCGAGCATACGCCACTGGCGCGACATCGACGAGCTTTTCGCGAGCAAGTCGTGGTTTGGCCACCACAAGATGAAGTCGCCAGTGTCTTTCGACAGAGTTGTAGACGTCTTGTTTCGAACCGGGGCACCACCAGAGGTGAGTGATAATGCTAGTAGTTGGTAGGACATCTGTATTCGGTACGTGCTCAAGGCAATTTAGACCTTCTTTTAGGCCTTACACAAAAATATTGCAGCAGAGAATGGCATGTGTACCTGCGACTGTTTGATTGCAAGTAAATGCGTAAAATATCTTTGTGGTTTACATCAGATTATGCAGATCAAATGTATAACTCAGCATATTACCAAATATACGAAATACAACAGGTATTCTAGGGTATATAAGCATTCTAGATTGACTGTTCTATTTAGAAACAAGATTGTTCACCATTCATTTGTGTCTTTGGCAATTTAACCAGCAAATAGATTTGCAGTTGATGTCAAGTCAATGTGATAAAGATTGTAAGAATTAACAGTCTATAATTTAATCATTTTGAAGCAAGTTATTATTACATTTCATATAATGTACATTTATTTTGCAGCCTACAAATGAGTTGAAACCAAAAATCCTTATCTGATAGCAACTAAGATGTGCAAGACATTTACTGAAAAAACACCAATTATTTGCACACAATTTCCACAGGTCATCGATAAGTATCTGCGGTTAGTGGACGGGATAGAGCAGCGACTCACAATTGCTAGAAAACTGAAATGCCATGTGGTCGTTATTGATGTGAGTACAAGGGTAGCACTGTTTAACCATGTTTCACTTAATTGTTTTATATGACACTATGTACATCTATTGTCTTGCTTAAGCAGTGTAGTGTTCACCTGTAATTCTGTTAGTACATTTGTGGTCATTAACCTGCTATTTAAAGGGATCCTTTACTCTAGGTTCTAGGGTTATTTTCAGTTAATTTGTCAGTTAAGTAGCGTTAAAATTACCTACATTTAAAGTTCATGTTTCAATGCACCATTTAAGAATATTTTTTTTAATGTTTTAAAACTAACGACTACAGTTGATTACAACGACGGTGGCGAACTCAAAGCGCATAGTCTGATAAGTTGCGTAAACCACTTTTCAGCCAAGGGCTACAGACCGAGAGGTGTTTCTTATTTATTAATTTAAAGCAAAATGGATTGTAATATCTTATAAACGACATATAGTTTCAGTTATATTATGGATAAATTTGTCCTAAATGAATCGTTCGCGTTAAACAGCATTTTAGTAAATATATTGCACCTTTTTGTATAGCCCTCGTCTGTAACGTGCATATAAATTGGCAATGCGCAACTTTTTCAGGGTGCAGACGGTCGCGGGTGGCAATGGCGCCGTTTCAAATTTCGCGCGTTGATGTAGAATTAATTATAACAATTAAATTAGGAATCTGGTAACAAGTACGTGTGGGTATAGACGATTTGTTATACAGTAAGTACAGTTGTATACAGTATAATCCTAGTCTAGTATCCCTTTAAAACAACATGATTTTATATTGCTATTAGTGATGTCACGATCATCGATTATACTCGATTATCGGTTGAACAGTGGCTCGAACCAAGCGCTTGGTTATCATAATCGATTTAATCGAAATTTTTTTTTAAAAATTTGAACAAGAAAACTTAGAAAAGTGATGAGAATCAGTACATGTATTATACACACAGTAGTAAACAGTGCAAAACAAACAGTAAACAGGGCTAAACAAGCACATACATGCACACACGTACATGCACACGACGTTACGCACACGCAGGCATTCAACACCCCGAGTAACCGATCATCGGTTACTTGGGTCCAACCGATGATCGATTACGAAATTACAACCGATTGACAACACTAATTGCTATACAATGGCGGTTTATGTTATCTTCCACTTGTTGCACAGGCGTTGGTTGAACTCAGAGACAGGCAGGAATTGCTCAACTATGCCAGTAAACTTCAGGAAGGTACTAATGATGCAATGCATGCACAGGTGGCATTAAGAAACCCAGTAAGTAGCACCCTCTATTGTATAAGTTGTGTATTGGTGTATAAGAATTTTGATACATATTTAAAATTAATGGGCGTTTACGAATAAATGCTGGGCAGTTAGTTAGGTTTATCTCACACTTTGATTTTCTGCTCTGGTTTTTAGGCAACAAGATGGAAAAACTGATACGGAAGAACATTTTTCAATTGTGATCATCACAGGAAAACTATCTCAGCACTTTGATTGAGTTGTATATTGTATCTTTCACACGGCTGTACATACATTGTCATTTTGATGGTGTGCAAGATTCATGATCGATTTGTTTTTGTTATGTTAGGCTAAATAGTTTCGAATGTGTTCTCACATGTAATAGGCAACATGATTATTGTCTCTAACATACAAGACCCTGTTATAGTGTTTTCCTACAGTTTTTTTCGAAAAATTAAACTTGGTATAGTGCTGACTGCATTTAGTGTTTCTGTAGTTGAATGGTTGAAGCAAGTTGTAGCACACAAACACTGTTTAGTTTTTGTGATTTTATATAGTAAAATCATTTAATTCATCATAAACTATGCAAATTTTTGCATTGTTTGGTTATTCATAAGGCAACGGCAGCTAGGGTCTATAATTAGTTGATGACTGTACATGTGATGTTGCACACTTGCCTGTATTATTATACTACTGTGATATATTGATACGTGCAACTATGTTTTCCAAATTCTGTGACATTTAATTTTGCACTAGCAGTTAGTCTCTATCTAACATTGTTTATTCATTTTGTTTCGGAGAGTAAGTTTGCATTTTTAATAATGTTATTTAATGCAACATTGATACTGGGTTGTTACATTCCATGTACAATATTGAAGGTTTATTATTGTTATAGCAGGCTACAGACCTTGTATATATCAATCAGCGAGACAAAAATATTAATCCATAATAATCAGTACTTTTGGTGTTTTTATTATGTAATTGCTACTATAAGTTTTTACAGTACACTACATAAACTTGAATACAAATGTGCTATTTGAATACAAATTGAACAGGACATTTTATTACATATATACACAGTAATATATACACATTACTTTAGTAGAAGTGAAATACTACTCGCAACTTATGTTAGCTGTTGGCTGTTCTCACTGCTTCCATACATCCGACAGATTGTCATATAGGTATCCAATTGGATCGTCAGGCTGTTCAACAACCAGTAATGACATCATATCCTGCCAACAGCAGCAGCATTGGGAAATTATTTAGTTTACAAATGCTAATAAAATTACATTAAGGAATTTCGTTTAATGTGGGTAGGGCCTCTTCAAGGTGGCAGTATACTAAATAATATATTTATAATCTTGTACCTGAAATCTTTGAAGAATTTTGTGTTTCGCTAAATATGCCTCGGCTGATTGCTGCTGACCCATTAGGGGTGTGGTGACAGTAGTAGTGGGAGAAGAACCTATCTTCACTCTCATCTGTGGCTGAGGCTGAGGCTCTTCATCTAATTCAGTGCATGCCCCATTAACCATTGCTTATGGCAATCGGTTTTTCGATGATTCTGTTTATCTGTAATATACAGACAAAAGAGTTACTAATAATAGCAGAAAAACAATACTGCAAAGGTGCTGGTGACTGACACTAATCTAGAATATAAATTGTAGCTTGTTTTATTTTGTCAAAAAGCCACAAGTGATTATTATTAGCCGTGATGGTTAGAGGGAGAGAAGAAGCCTCTTCCCTCCCTCTAACCATCACGGCTTCCTCTCTCCCTCTAACCATCACGGCTTCCTCTCTCCCTCTAACCATCATGGCTTCCTCTCTCCCTCTAACCCTCATGGCTTCCTCTCTCTCTATAACTATCACGGCTTCCTCTCTCCCTCTAACCATCACGGCTTCCTCTCTCCCTCTAACCATCATGGCTTCCTCTCTCCCTCTAACCATCATGGCTTCCTCTCTCCCTCTAACCATCATGGCTTCCTCTCTCTCTTTAACATCACGGCTT